CATACAAGTAGCTATTTGACAGTGAAGTTCAGGGGTGCCACTTCCATTTCTGTCAAGCAGATGCTCAAAATTTGCAAGTCAATGCCAAGCTAAGTAGGGTGAGCTTCAGGGATACTTTGTACACCTGCAAGTTTGTGCTGGCATAATTCAATGCCTTGGATTTTTTAAAGCCAGATAGCACTTTGTAGGGGTTTGAGGTTCTTTCCGAGGATCCTTAAATAGTGAAGCATACAAAAATCAGGCCTTTTCTATAGTACTTTTAGCCCCAGTGAATTGGGAAGGTTGTCACTCAGAGGCAAGGCAAGGCCAGAACCAAGGCCATCTGGAATGTGTACCCATCTGCTGTCAATGGCAAGCTGAAGACTATTTTGGCCATTGAGGCCTATCATAAGCATCTCAAGTCAAACTTTGGGCTCCACTCTAAGTTCAACAAGTTCTTTGTCCTCCTCCAGCATGAGCAGGAGAAGACTATCTTAAAGCTGCATGATCTGGATAACCATGTACCCCCACCAAGTCCAGAACTAAGTTGTCCCTGTTCATAAAGGCCATACAGGATGCAAAAAAGCACAAGTATAATGCCTCTGAGCTCAAGCAGCAGCTTGAGCTCATTGCAACTGCCCTCTTAAAAGGGGTAAAAATGAAAAGGGAGAAGAAGGGAGAAGAATAAACTTGCTTACTTCTATACTTTTTTGATTTTTACTTTTTAGTTTTAATTTTTCTATTTTTAAATATTTTAATATATTATTAATATTTTCAAGTACAAATGGTAAGTTTGAGATAAATAGTTACAGTTAAAATTGAATGAAATGTCTTAATTCTCATTAATTTACTAGTGAAACATAATATATTCACAGTTGTACCTATATGAAGTATACCCAAATAGATATTAATATTTCTTATATTTTGTAATGCTTATACTATTGTATTTATCTTTATTTTTATTGAACCGGAATTTAAATTCTTATGCTAATAAAAAATGTTTTTATAGTGAAGAGTGTTTTTTACATAGTAAAATGAGAAATAATTGCTTATTTCTCTCTATCCTTACTAGTTAAGGTATGTTTTTTACCTCTCTGGGGTCATTTTAGTATACCTTAGCAGTATAAATTAATTTTTATATAAAAATTATTTAGCACATTAAGTACTGTTAATTAAAAAAGTGTCAATTTCCAGGAGTTGATCAGACAAAAAATTGAATTCTCACTTGACTTAATAGTTGATTACCAGGGAGTCAATTTCACCACAGTTGTCTGACTTTCTCTGAATATACAAGTCAAGACAAAAGCTTCAAGAATCTGTATTACCTGTAACCAAGCAACAGCTGATGGAGTACAGGGCTTACACCCCAGACAGTCTTCCTGCTGACAAGCCTACCCAATGAGGCTAATTCTCAGGAGGGGTCCCAAAATTGTGGGGTCAACCCCCAGCAAAGATTCACACAAAAGACACATTGCCCCTCAATTTGAATCTTCTCACATTCAAAGCCAAAAGTGTCAGGGATCCAGTCTTGGGCGGCCAGCCTGTTGGTTTCAGGGATCACTTGGGCCAGGTTTTTTGCAGGTAAAGCCCACCACAAGAGAGGAGCTAACTTAAAGAGGTAGGAGAAGGACTTCCCCACCAAGTACACAGGCCAACAGCCGGGATTATAGTGTCAATAACCCCTGTGAGGGTGATGTACACAATCCCAAACAGCTTGCCAGTTTGATCAGTTGGGAGGTCTGGTGAGGAGGCAGGCATTGGCTTGGGGGTCACAGGTAGTTCCATATTGAGTTTGTAGACAGGCAGGTAGTTGAACTTGCCTCTAAACAACTTGGGTGTTGATAGGATCCAGGGGCCTTGACAGTTGTATTAACTTCAGATTGTATATGGGCCAAGGGATCTAGTTCAAGGATCTTTTTCAGGGTGTAATCCTTATACTCAGGTTTCAGAGGGTACTCTGTGAAGTGAACAGGACCAAAGAGAACACCTGGAGGACAGAAATCTGCAGGCAGAGGGGCAGGAGGGCTGGATAATCTTGTACTGATTTGATAGATGGCAAAGACAAAGTAAGGCAGTAGCTGTTTAAGCCAAAATAACATGACCTTTATTCAAAAATGGCAATAAGTTTGGAGTGTGGAGTCCTTGGGTCTATTTAGTACCCCAACTCCAAACTTAACATTTTCTATGGGGGTTCATCAGGGCATTGGGAAATGTGGGCCCAGGGGTTCTGGACCCTTGGGTTCAAAGGCAGTGAAATGACACCTGGGATGGGAGTTCTTTCATCAGTCAAAGATCTCAAGTTGGCTACTTGATTATCTTGATCTAGAGTTGTGTTCATGGGGCCAGGCTGCGGGCCTGTGCCTTCTCCAGGGGGTGACTCTTGATTAGCTGCTGGTGTAGCCTTCAAACTCATGAAGCTAATGGTCAAAATTTTGTTGCCTTCATTAGACGCCTTGATTGTTTCCTTATTTGGTACAATGATTCCTTTGGTTTGGCTTGCTTCATAATTCAGGCCATCATTCTTGGCTTCAGCTTGTGGGGGCTCAACCCCAGGAAAATGCAAGCAGGCAGCTCCTTGGTCCTTAGGGCAGCCGGCCTGCAGGGATTCAGTGTTAGGGTTTGAAACCCACCCTTGGGCCCAGGCTTCAAGGGGAAAAGAATTTTCAATCCTGACAAAAAGCAAAGTCAACTTAATTTGACAAACAAGAAAACACATACTTCCAGTAATCTAACTCCATAACAGATTTGATTTGAAACCTAACTCATTAGCAGGATCAAGCCACACCCTAATCATTCAAACAATTGATCAGCAGGTATCTTGTTCCTCCTAAAAAAACTCACCCAAACTATACAGCCTCATATTATTACAAAAAAACATTATATATTTTTCATTATATTTCCCTCTTATAACTCTGTTATGCATTGCAGTTACAATAAAATGATATTTTATTTAAATAATCATGATTACTTATTTTCAAAAACCAATTTTTATGCTTAATAGCTAATTTTAACATTTGAATTATTTCAAGACAAAACTAATTTACAACATCTATGATTACTCCCTCTTGGGAAATCAGTCTCCTGAGAATCAGTTTGACTTGGAAATAATCAGTGTGTAAATTCACTCCCCCCTTTAGCCCTGGATAGGACTATCTTTCCTTGGCGCCCAAGAATTCTGCTCAAATTCAAGCTAAACTTCTTAATTCTCTTGGTGATTAAGCTCATACAATTGATAAGAGATTTTTACTGGTGTACCCTTCTCAGGCAGTAACCACCAATGATCATATTTATGTTCCCATCTGGGAATAATCCCTAATTAATTTGGATTATTTGTTGGTTTGGTTTTGCCCCATTTAAAAAAATCAAGGGTAACCAACCAAGTTGCGCTACAGTTAAATCTACAAACTCCAATCCAACTGATTTAAATGATAACCTGAACTACTCCATAGGTGATGGTCAATCAGGAGTGGAATTGAAAATTATTAAGAAACTCTCCCACTCTTTGGATTCCCCTCTGAAAAATTTATCTGTAAGCCAATCAGATCCCATCTCTGGGTCAGGTGACTCTTTGAATTCTGATTCTACCCTTAAAGCAAGACAGGGGACTTCCAGTCCCCTGCTTGCTCATTCTTATCATTAAAAATTTTAAGCTTTTGCAAACTTTTCTCATTTGAAAACTGGGTCTCATTTTGTTGGCCCTTTATTTCTTATTTAGTTGTTATTAAAAGTGTTAGATTTCCCTTACCTTATATGCTGTCCTTTGGCCTATGGTACTTTCCTCAAAGCTCCTAGAATTAAAGTTAGTATATATATTGTTTCTTACTGCCTTGGATTTCAAAAGTTTTACTTGAATTCAACAATTAGTATAAAAATCTACATAATTACCTATTTTAGTTTGATTTTTTCTTCAATTTGCTTTGTTGTTGCCCCTGCTTGACTATACAACTTTGGTCTCTTCTTCTGTCTAGTTCAAAGTGTATATCTTGGTCTTGTTGTTCCCTTTGCTACTTAAACTTCCCAAGTTTTTTATATACCTATTTATGTAACAGATAAGACCTGTTTCTGCTTCAAAAAAGGACTTTAGCCCCAATTAGCTCTTTAAATAATGCTGGCCTCTCTCCTAAAATTTGTGGTGTTCACCTTGACACCTATGTTGATGATAATTTTGACTATCACCCCAGACCTATGGGATTGGCTCTCTTCCTCCCTCTACCATGTGGGAGACAACCCTACTTATCTCCTGAGTTTGTTTGACAATATTCTGGGGTGCCCCAAGACTTTCTTGCCACCAGTGAGAATCTCATCAAGAGCCTCATATGCAACAATCTTAAACTGTTTTCCCATGAACCTGTTCTTAAAACCCCCAGAAATTAGACCTTCCTGAGCCTTTACCCTCTATGGGTGCAAAGCCTTCTGTTCCTGATGAGGAGTTGCTTCCCCATGAGCATGCTCCCAGCCGTACTCCTTGGCTGCTTGGTGGAATCCTCTTGATAGGTTTAGACTCTTACTTCCCCTGATTGTCCTCTGTGTCCTTGTTGTGGACGCCTCTTTGAGCAACCATACCAGACTTGCACTGGATGGTGTCCTGGTGGATTCTTCCCCCAGGATGGGAGAAAAACTTAGTTAGTTTAGCCCCTCTCTCTCACACAGTGTCACTCCTATCACACCTCATGTTGTATGAAAATAATTCATTTTCAATCCTACAGGAAACACATTTTTAGGGAAACCCCATGACTTCCATGATGTACATGATCAGCATGGGGTTATCATGATACTATATAACATTTTATCTTCATATCAAACAAACTATCATTCTCATATTAATTATTTTCTTTATCTTGTTTTATATACTTTCAAGAAAGATATACTTAACACAAAATAAGATCAATTAAAAAATACCTCTCACTGGCATCTTAAAATTTTTATCAAACCATTGACACCTTTAATGATTGATTTACAAGCATTTTAAATAAAAAAATTACTACCATCATTTAATTTCAATAACAGCAAGAAAAATATAATGACCAGTAAGGGAGTCGAACCCCTAGCCTTCCGATCTGGAGTCGGACGCGCTACCATTGCGCCAACTAGTCTTTTTGATGTTTTCCCTGAAGTAAAACAAATTTATTTGACAAATATTTGTAATTATAGAAGTATGAAAGTATATTTGTATTTAATTATAATTTCGCCTATGATAGTACATTTTAAATTATCCTAAGTATTTTTTTTAAATACAGCCTTTAATTATATTTTCATATAAACACTTTCATTGTTAAAATTGTACTAATTTCCTAAAGAAATCATCCAAGTCCCACTAAATGATCTAAATGGGCACAGTGTTACATCAATTAGCAATAAATTATTATATTTGATTTCAATAAAGATGAGATCTTCTTCTAATTCTTTTTTCTCATTTATATACTTCATAGAAGTATAATATTGATATAAATAACCATTTTTTACAATAAAAATAGAATATATTAATTGAAATGCACAAAAGAGCTCAAGATATAGCTAATATTTAATATAAAAGTTTCTTTTAAAAATGGTAGTTTGTTGATATTTGATATTAAGTTTTTGGGTTGTTATAATAATAATTTAAAGCATCAAAAACCCTAAACTTCTGAATACACACTTTTTATTAGTGATTTTTAATATTTTAAAAATCAATAAAACCATAATTATTAGTGTTAGCATTGGCTTATTCTTTACAGATTAATCAAAGAATTTAACCGACCAATTGCATTATTAAGAAAATAATCATTATCACACCTTTATCTTGTCACCACTTATTATCACAAGTGTTGCTCCGCCAATACTGTCTAACAGGATCCCTTCTTTTCCCATGGACATCAAGCTGAAAATATTCTACTTTCAGGTTCAACTACTGGTTTCCCACAGCAAGGATATAAAATTACTTTTATATTCTTTAATAAATATATACATTCCAAATTCTCTTTCACTTATCCATAATTATTACCTGTTACGCAGTTATAACAGTGTCAGAAGATATATGTTTACCCTCATCCTAATAAATTAAAAAGACAGAAATATGTCTACACCTATGAGCAAGAAGTACTTTAACAGCTCTTCATGAATGCTTTCTAAAAGATGACAACATTATACTATAGGGACAGTATTCACAGATCACCTAACATTCTATAATAGAGTCCTAATCTTTAACAATCAATTTATTTATTTATATCTTTGCTTCTGAATGTTTATCCATATCAACATCTGCTACAAATATCAGGATAATTCCTTCACATACCACCACCATATTAAACTATGTAAATTTTGGATTATTCTCTGCATCACAAAAAAATGACCACCTGATTCCAAGTAGAATGTAAAAAGCTCAAAAAGATGCAGTGCTCACAATGATTCTAGATTCCCGAGGTAGTGTTATATCTCACATATGTCACAGTCATCTGATCAACAGAACAAAAACAATTTCACACCTACAATAAATCAGTCTGTGATGAATTCTAGAAAGCCTTCCTGGGTTTTTAAATTATATTTCAGAGCTGCTAATGGACAGAGAGATGTACAAGCTCAAAAAAGATAATCTTAATGATTAAACTTGATTCTGAGAAGATATAAAATCCTTTGACCTATCCAAGATTATATCTGAAATACCTTTAAATGCCTAAACTCATAGAAAACAATGAAATCTGATTAAAATAGCATATTTTCACAAATTAATGTGTTGAATTTGAAAGTATTTACAGCAAAGTTGAGATAGCTGCAGTGCCAAATATTTTCTCTAAAAACACTTCTGTGCCTCTCACAAGAAGAGTTAGACTAAACCTGTCTACTCACAGCAACCCAGATACCTTTCTTCTTAAAATAAAAATATGAAAGCTTCTAACATGTCAGGTAAGTATTACAAAGTAACCATATCAATTTCTGCAGCAGCAGCACCAATGATAATAAAAATATGGAAAAAGTACAAGGCACTAATAATAGATTCATGATCTTCATATCAGAAAATAACTTATAAACCCTCTCACCTCATTTCATCCTCACAATATAGACAGTATCATTATCTATGAGATCCTATCTGGTGACATTTTTTATTTGCAAAAATTAACAAAAGCATTAAAACTATGTTTAACCTATCTGTTTTTACAAATACAGAGGATTTGTGCCCCTAGATTAAAGAGCTGTCTGAAATCAGTAAGCAAATATATGAAAAAAAAACCATGAAGATACCCACAGGACCCAGAAGTATTAAAATGATAGATGTTCCAGCTTATTATTTTTATACTAGGCTTAACTTCTGAACAACTTCAGGTATAAGTTAGGCTAGACAAAAACTTATGGATGATAAAAAACACATAGTTGAATTTATATTAGTAGTGTAATTAAATTTACAGATTAATAAAATATCATTTTTGGATAACACCAGATCTAAGGGCACTACTCAATAAGAGGTTATAGGATGTAATTATATGGTTTGCTCTACTAAGCCTTAGTGGATTCCAAGAGGAATTGGGCTTAATGAAATTATCCCTTCTCATACATAATATTTCCCCTTTATCATATTAAATAATTAAATCTTAGCTATATACAACCTATTATATACAGTAGGAATTTTTACATTAGACCTGGCTTAGTCTTTAACAACATTATAGTGTAGAATATTGAGTTAAGCACAAGCATGAAATGCTATCAAGTAATCTACAACAGCAAGTCTTGCCAATGGCTACTTGTTACCCATAAAAAATGAGATCAAACCCTTTACAACACAACTAGAAGCCATCAATAGTAAAAACATGGAGCAAGTACCTAAAATTCAATTGCAGATATTACATTGAACATATTGATGTATTTTTTTGTCTCTGCACTTTTTTCAATAAAGAAAAGCTAAAAATCAATTTTTTCTTAATTTTGAATTTTTTTAGTGTTTTTATTAGTAGTGGAAATCAAAAAACCAAGTTTGAAGTGCCAAAAATGATGGAATTTAAAATACATCTTATTTTTAAATGGCTGTTAATATATATATCATTTAACCTTTTGAATAGAGGTGAAAAAATCAAGAGCTCAAAAATTGAAGTGCAAAATAAATCTTCAATCTAATATTTGATACATCAAAATTAAAGAATTTAAAAACCAAATTTTTTTACATACTGTAAATTCAGAACCTTTTGGCAAATATGGAGGATTGTCAAATGCAAGAACCAAATTTAAAATCACATTTACTGTTTGGCTTTTCCCTTGATTAAATCAATCCCTTTTATTTTATTTGAATATTTCAAATTACAGGATCTCATAATGTAGATTCAGAACCTGAACATAAAAATGCAAGATTATCAAATCCTTGGTACAAATTTTGAATCACTTTTGCGGGCAACTCAGCTGAAGGAAAATTAAAATATTTAATAAAATTAACTATTTTATCTGACTTTTTTTGGTTTATTTAAATTGGCAAATTTTGAATCCCTCAAGCAGACAACTCAACTAACAAAAGACAAAACTCAGCAAACAAATGCAGGATACATGAATCAGAAATGCGGGATTCTAATGTACAATTTGAGATTTCCTGTATGTCAAACAAATCATAGACCTCATGTAAAAATTAGCAAATCTGAAATTGCAGGATTGTCAAATCCAAGAACCAAGTTTCAAATCATAATTGCAAGGAATTTGAAATAAATATAATTTATGGGTGTCTCAAAAAGGATTCTAAAGAATCTATAGTGGATTTGTGCTAATTCTTTTAGGAATCATAGGCATTCTAAAAAATCACCCTATTTCATTTGAGGGTGGCTAAAATTTAGATCCTACTATTCACAAAATTACAATATTTAACAATAAAATTGACTAAAATATACACTTCTCTTTTTGAGTTTATTTTTTTATTAAAAATTTATTATGTCTTTTTCCAACACCAACCAAGTCAATGAGCTGTTCCCTGGCCTTGACAAAATCATGCAGGGCTACACTAGGTCTCTTAACGGCAAAGCCTCTGTTTATGGCCACTCCCAACCTGCAGGCCCCTCCGCAAGCCCCACTCAGGAGTGTGTTCTTTCTCCTGCAACTTCTAGCATGGCCCTGTTTGCCCATCATGCACAGGCAGCCACCAGCCCAAATCCTGAATCAACAATGGCATCCAGAACCAGCCATTTGAGCCATGGGGTCACCCAGGACCCCAAAACAGCCAATCAGATGGCATTGACTAGTTCACAAGATGGACATATCTCTCCCCCAGCCAATCAGCCTGCAAGACGCAGAAGAAAACTAATCACTCCAGAGATTGTTCTCAAAATGATTGAAAAGTGAGGGATGCTTATGTCACTTGGGGAAATTGCAGCCACAATGGGTTTTGCAAAGTCCACTGTGGCTGCAACCCTGCGATCCCACACCAACTGTGGCCCCCCTACCAAGAAGACCCCAACTAAGCCTGTTCTTTGACTGAAGGTGAAAAAGCCCACCCTCTCATGATGGCTATTATAGAGAGTGATCCGCGGATGCCCCTGGTCCAGGTCTGTCTCCAACTGGGACTCCACAGCATTTCACCAATAAGAGAACAGTGAATTTGTGGATGCACATAGTTGTGGTTGTCACCAGAATCTTATTAAATCAGGTTCTCAGTGACCTTGTTTTGGTGGACGTTGACCCCTATGATTCTACCATCATCAATTTTATCAAAGGGAGGGCAATGAGGGCCTGTAATGACATAATCTTCCTGTCATACACCAATATTTTGGCAAGTATTCAAGACTTTGGGGAAAAGCAAATCCAGTCTGACATATACAAGCGCTGGCCAATCCTGTATTGATTTGTTGGGGGTTTGTTAGTAGTTTCCCCATTGGGTTTCAATTATTACTCGGTAATATTGAACACCGCAGATGGCTATACCTACCAGACAGAGCTCAAGGCCATGCTGGAGGAGTGGGCCACACAAAACGCCGTGCACACATTTGTACTTAGTGCTGAGATGGAGCAGCGGGAATGGACAACCCAAGAAATCAGGGCTGCGGGGCATACCTGTTTGTGACCGTACTACAGTCACTGCTGAGCGTTTAGCCTAATAAATGCTCCAAAATATAAAGATGTTCTGTTTTTGCTGTTTATTACATATAGATAG